AGAAACAATAGAAAATATTATTTCACGCAACTGGTATTAATCAGCTTAAAATCAAAATGCGATAAAGTTGAGGTTTCACCATTTTATTTGAAACTGTTATCACTAAAGAACAGTGGCATATCGATACAATAATTTTTTAACGTCCAGTGCTATAAAACACTATATTAGTATAAATCTGCCCAGTATGAAGGTCTATGTTGTGAGTATTTAAGAAAGTATGAAAAACAAGTTTTCAGAGAGTATTGGGAGAATTATGAAGAGCAAGTGGTCAGTGACAAATATTTATTGCTTTTTTAAATTAAAATTTTCAGGCAACAAGAAGGTCTTTTGCAAAGGCGCGCGCGTGTTTGTTTGTTTGTGTGTGTGTGTGTGTGTGTGTGTGTGTGTGTGTGTGTGATTTCGACTTTTAACGTTGTTCTATGTTCTAACAATTTTTCAGTCATATTGCTACGATGTCTGCAATGTGACAGCTTATAGTGATGTCTAGCACTGGGGCATCTTGTCGCAGACATGTAGCATTATGTCCCACCCAGTCACATTATCCTGACATCAGGCTGACCAGTCCTAACACTGACCTCTTAATGCTGAGCGCCAAGCGAAGCAGCTGTTAGTACCATTTTTATAAGTCTTTGGTATGATTCGACCGGGGTTTGAACCCTTGACCCCTAGCATCCAAGTCAGACACTCTAATCAAAGGCTTTTGTTCATAATATTTACATAAAGTAAGGCTAAGACAAGACAAGTAATTTTATTCTAGAATTATCAATCGATTTTAAATATAATACTACACTACTAAATTTTATAAGCTTAATCAAACTGACAGGCGATAAAAATATTTGCATCGGGCTTATGTTAGCGTTTTGTTTGTGCTTTTTGTGTTGTTTTTTTATTTTAAATTCTGACAGCTGGTAGAGTCTACCACCAGAGCGCGCGTTTCTAGGCGATACGCTATACTCCACCTGTTGATGTGCCGTTCACTATCAATCAGTTGATCTATCTGTAAGTCCTGGATTAGTGTTGAAGTGCCGTTTAGCAACGATATATTCTAAGACCTTGCTGATTTGCCGTTCAGCATCAATTTATTTACATGTTCGTTCGAGATCAATGTTGAATTGCGATTCAACATCAGTTAATTTATCTATCTGTTCGTCCTGGATCAATGTTGAAGTGCGATTCAAGATCAGTTAATTTATCTATCTGTTCGTCCTGGATCAATGTTGAACTGTGATTCAACATCAGTTAATTTATCTATCTGTTCGTCCTGGATCAATGTTGAAATCCCGTCCATCATCAGCCTATTGATTTATCTGTAAGTCGTATGTCAATGATGATGTGCCGTTCAGCATCAATTAATCTATCTATCGGTACGTCCTAGATCTGTGCTGATGTGCCGTTCAGCATCAATTAATCTATCTATCGGTACGTCCTAGATCTGTGCTGATGTGCCGTTCAGCATCAATTAATCTATCTATCGGTACGTCCTAGATCTGTGCTGATGTGCCGTTCAGCATCAATTAATCTATCTATCGGTACGTCCTAGATCTGTGCTGATGTGCCGTTCAGCATCAATTAATCTATCTATCGGTACGTCCTAGATCTGTGCTGATGTGCCGTTCAGCATCAATTAATCTATCTATCGGTACGTCCTAGATCTGTGCTGATGTGCCGTTCAGCATCAATTAATCTATCTATCGGTACGTCCTAGATCTGTGCTGATGTGCCGTTCAGCATCAATTAATCTATCTATCGGTACGTCCTAGATCTGTGCTGATGTGCCGTTCAGCATCAATTAATCTATCTATCGGTACGTCCTAGATTTGTGCTGATGTGCCGTTCAGCATCAATTAATCTATCTATCGGTACGTCCTAGATTTGTGCTGATGTGCCGTTCAGCATCAATCAATCTATCTATCGGTACGTCCTAGATTTGTGCTGATGTGCCGTTCAGCATCAATTAATCTATCTATCGGTACGTCCTAGATTTGTGCTGATGTGCCGTTCAGCATCAATTAATCTATCTATCGGTACGTCCTAGATCTGTGCTGATGTGCCGTTCAGTTCTAGATCAGTATTGATGTGCTGTTCAGCATTAGTCGATAGATACATATGCAATTTAGCATCAATCAAATTATCCGAATATCCTAGGTCACTGTCGTGCCGTTCATCACCAGTCGATAGATCTAGCTAAAAGTCCTAATCAATGTTGATGTGCCATTCAGCATCAATCGATCTGCTTGTCTAAGATTAATGTTAACATGCAGCATCAGTCCAGCTGTCTTAAATCTTAGCTGATGATCCGTTCATGATCGACCAATTTTTCAATTTGTACGTATGAATGCCTCTCAGCATCAATTTATAATATGGATATTAATATCGATAGGATAATAATATTGATACTAAAACAGGTTTGTATCCTTAATCTTAATGAATGACAGAAAGCAAGATAGAACGAACAATAGCGGACTAGTGTCATGTACCGATGTAGTGAAAAATAACTTCAATACTCAGCTCCTTGACAGACAGTCACGCATTCTTCCAATGTTTGTACTTAATTTTAAATGAAACAAACGAACGTGTAGTTTTGTCTGGTACGAAATGAAAGCTTTTAATGCTTACAATTTCCTTAAGTTTTATATTATGTTCTTCTTTATGTACAACTAGTTTTTTTTAAACAATTTTGTTTCTAAACTATCTCTTTCTTTAGTACCTTTATCACGTGTACAGAAGATACTAAATGACGGCAGTTTCTCATGTTATTATTTCTCTGGTATGGAAGTAAAATATTAGTTACATATTTCGTTTCTTTAAAAATGATGATACTCCCCAACTCAACTCTAGTCTTTTAGATGCTGAGGGTGACAGGCTTGTGTTGATCAGAGTTTGATAGAAAAGGAAATATCCCTTTTTTATTACTAGTACAACAGACTGGTATTTGTGTCATTTGTTCAAGCTGAACGTATTTACTGGGTAAATAGAACGATCGCTCAGTACAGGATCTTAAAACCAATCAGAAATAAATGTCTGATTCATTGGAGATTAGTGTATTGACACTGTCTAAAATTTCCCCCCATATTTGTTAATTATTAGATGCCGCGTGGACATAAGTACCGCGCAGATACTGACTGACCAAACCTGTAGTTTCAGCACCAAATGGCGGGTAGAAGTTTACATTTGTCCAAAACAAATAAAACACGCCGGCGGATTAGTCCAGCTGACAGAACTTAATAAATGATATTACAATAAAATCAATAATAAATTGTTTGCCTTGTAACTGGCCAATCCGGGACAATGAGATTTGAAAGTGTTCAAACGAAAGCTGCAAAACATTTCATTTGCTTTTGTATTTGTAAGTTATTATAGTGTTGACGAATCTTTTCCTAAGAATGTAAATTGAAGTGAACAAACATCTCATTGGATCTGCTCTGCGACAAGTGGGAGCCATTGTGATTTACTGTTGATTTTATTTCTTTCGGATGTAATGAAAATAGGGAATGGCGATTTATCATGCAATGAAAACCATACTCAGAAATCTTATAAATACATAAAATTATTTTTGAAGCTAATAATCGATCGATTCAAGTAAGGTAATAAAAACTCCAAACAAGAAAACAAAACACAATATATATATATAAATATTTATATATATATATATATATATATATATATATATATATATATATATATATATATATATATATACATACATACATACATACATACATACATACATACATACATACATACATACATACATACATACATACATACATACATACATACATACATACATACATACATACATACATATGGCGGAGTTACAACTGAAAACAAACATTAAAAGCAAAGGCCATGAAAAATATAGACTTCACATGTTTAAACGAATTGTAATCTACGAACAAGAGTTTAAAGGAACAGAAGAAAAAAAGAAGTAATGTTTGAAAAACGGGTCAAAAAAGGAATAAACTACATGTATATTCTGAGCGGCCGATCTAAACCAAAAACCAAAAGTAGGAAGCCAGGTATTTTGACCTAATTCCAGACTGTGGATATTGGAGGAAAAACGTGTGACGAAATTCAACGCCATCTACAATATGTAGATAAGAATCTATACGCCAGTAAAGTTATTCGTTTAGGCAGTAAAGGAAATGTCATACGAATGTGGTAGCGGGATACCAAACAAGAGAAATGATGCAATATATCATGTAAACAGCTACAGAATATTATTTAAGTAAATATTATTGCAAAATTTGTGCAGGTGTGATAAACTGATGGCTGACTGGAATTTTGATAAGATTTCAATGGAAAAGTTAGACTTTTATTTAGGCCAAATTTCCCATTAGTTTTCAATTGCAGTATCCAGTGTCGTTTCATACGTGGAGCATTCTATATCGGTCCAAATCTGGTTAAGTCAATCGGTATTATCTCGAGGGACTCCACTGAATACCCGTTACAGTTGTTGTGGTTGGCAAGTTTCTCGTTGATTTTGTTATGAATGAATGTCGTGTGGTGGTTATTCATTCGTTTTCTGAAATCAATTGGCAGGGATCGTGCACATCAGGAGACAGATAATAGTTTTGGTGCGACATCCTAAATTCGGACTAGCAGCAAAGCTCGATCCTGTCTTTGAACATTTGAGCTATTTAGTCTCTGCATATGTTTGCAAATTAGGCTAAGCTTTTCTTTGCAGAATCTGTGGTCTTCACTGAAGGTACCTTGGCACATTCCATACGGTCATTGAGAATTTAGGTTTGCGATACACAACCAAAGGAAATTCTTGAAATATGCCATTCAAACGTTCAGAATACTCAATCTGGTGTCCATAGTTCTGAATGGTCTGTTGTAAAAATGGAGCTTGTTTGGGGTGGGAAAGGGTTGGGTAGGATGGGGGTGGGGTGGGGGTGGGGAAACCAATATGGGGACGCGATGGATGGTTCTCTTTTTTTCGAGGCAACAAATTTTTTAATAGTCGTATCAATGTATCTCTTTCTGTAGCTTCGCCTTCTACAGTGCCGCTTAAGTTGGTAGAGCGTCCGCCTCGGATGCGGGAGGTCACGGTTTCAAACCCCGGCCGAGTCATACCAAAGATTTATAAAATTTGTACTAACAACTGACTCATTTGGTACTCAGCATTAAGAGGTTAGTGTTAGGACTGGTCAGCATGATATCAGGATAATGTGACTGGGTGGGACATCATCCTACATGTCTGCAGCATGATGCACCAGTGCTAGACATCACTATAAACTGTCAAACTGCACTCATCAAAGCGATATGACTGAAAAATTGTTAAAGTTATTTTAAAAATCGAAATCACACACACACACACACACACATACATGCCATGAGGAAGATATTTTAATTGCATGCTGGGAGTAGCAGACGGTCGGGGGAAACAACTGGTAGGGGGTCGGGGAGTTGCAGCCTTTCGGGACCAGGTAATAGTCAGAGTCATCTGGTTTACACTGCAGGTCACTTTTTGTTTGCGTCATGATGGTAGTATGAGTATCAATGAAAACGTTGGATATTTTTGATGATTCCTATGTAAGTGTAATCGTAGGAATACATTATCTTGAAATTGCAGCCCTTTTCGATCTATTTCGATTCTCTGTCACCAATGGATTTACACTATCTTTTATATTTTTAGGGTTCTTCATTGAGAAGATGTTTCTCGAGTCTGCGCATTGAAATTATTTGCACACGAACGTGCCATTTTAGTGCCTATTGTTGTTCCATAAATTTGTATGAAGTGATAGTTGTTTAAAACAAAATTGACAAACCTAAGAAACGAGCTAAATGATCGAAAAGTGCGCAGGTCAGGAAGGATCAGATGGACCATCCCATGTAAGTGGGAAGGGAGGGGAAGGGAAGGATTAGATGGGCCATCCCATGTAAGTGGGAAGGGAAAAAAAGGATTAGATGGACCATCCCATGTAAGTGGTAAGGAAAGCGAAGGATCTGATGGTCCATCCCATGTAAGTGGGAAGGGAAGAGAAAGATTAGATGGACCATCCCATGTAAGTAGGAAGGGAAGGATTAGGTGGTCCATCCCATGTAAGTGGGAAGGGAAGGGAAGGGAAGGGAAGAGAAGGGAAGGGAAGGGAAGGATTAGATGGACCATCCCATGTAAGTGCAAGAGAAGGGAAGAATGAGGTGAGTCGATGGTGACTATGAGAGTATTAGCTAGATCTTTTTGCAAAAGAAAAGTATCATACAAAAATTTTGTGGTTAGTTACAGCTACGTCTTCCTCAAACACCACCATCTATTCCTACCCCCAGTGAAAGATAGAATACAGCTAACAGCAAAATGCATAAATCGTTATAACTTCAAGCCTAAACTCATTACAATTAAATAGATAGCTTCATGCCAAATTGGTTTTTTGTTTTGACTTCTCACATTCTGGGTTTTTCAATATGGACCTAATTCCAAAAAGACGAATTCATTGAATATCCTTTTGAGATTTAAACCATACTTTAGACTTTGAAAAAGATCGTGGTATGTCATAAACTAGTCTGTTAATAATTGTGATAATTTATTACATTTCATTTGTTCTTACATATTCAATACCATGGTCGTTTTCAAACAATCACGACATGGTTGGTTCAACGTTTGAGATACCAGCTCTGACAAGACAGTCTTTCATCGTTCGAGTGAGCAAATCATCCGTGAAAGAACAAATGAAGAATCGCTCATGATGTCACGACATAATCAAGAATAATAACATAACAGTTGATTGTTTCAGAAAACGCAGAATAATGGCATTGTCTTATATATATATATATATATATATATATATATATATATATATATATATATATATATATCTATATATATATATATATATATATATATATATAAACACCATTAGATATTGTTGGAATCTTTGCGGACATAATTCGTCATTACTAATTTGTCAACAGGAATCGTAACATACTTTATGTGTCTAGAGGCAAATCATATGATAGAAGATGACCAATGTTTGAGAAAAGCAATCTTTTGGTGCTAGCTCGAGGACATCTTTGTACATTCTTTAACGAAAGCCTAATCAACTACCAGAGATTTATATTGCACTGAAGTAATACATTTGTTGATATTACTGGAAAATTACTTTTCAGTAGTTTATGTGTGATCGCATCAAAAACGTAATGATCGCATGGCTCATTCAAGCGACATAAAAGAGAATTATTCACCCCTAGGCGAAAGAAACACAGAACAACATATTAACATGTACAATGAAGTTTTACAGAGAATTATGACTTATTTTGCCAAGTTAATCTTCCAGTCACAAGATGCATTTTTTTCTTCTTCAGTAGACATCGAACTATGGTTGCAAGACACCCAAATAATGTCTGCCAAATTTGACATTATCTCCAAGCTATCGTGTATAAAACGAATTCACATTAGTCAACAAGAACAACGCTGAAGCACATCTGAAATTCGAACTTTACAGATCAAAAAGTAAGGCAACGTCTTTATTTGTCATTATTCCTTTTTTAATTTCTCTGAATGAAAGATTCTGAACCGAAAACGAGTTTGGTATCTAGCATATGATGTCGATGAACATATCCACTGAAAAATCGATGATTACTAAAAAGAAGTGCAACGAAGGATACACTGAGTTAAGACACAATTTTGTCTTAAACTGCACGCTCTCACTCTATACTGTGTGATGAATTACATTACGGGAAAACGCAGTTATCAAATCAAATATAGATGGTATTCATGCGGAGCGAAGTTGGTTGAACTGGGTTGCTGGGGGGGGGATAATTTCCCACCAGGCTCTACGCCGCGAAGATGGCACCATCGTTTCTTCTTTTCTTCTTTGTTAAACTTTTATAGCATCTTACCTTCACCTCACTCTACTTCACAACACGTATACTGTATTTAGGAGCGGGGCTGGCAACTGATTTAAAACTGTTATCTACAGCAAAGTAGGGGCACCATTAAAGAACATTGCCTCAGGGCGCCATAGTAGAGTTGCCACGAAAGAACATTGCCACTGAACTCTCAAAACCTGGCACCGTCATTGATTCTTGTTTAAGACTAGGCAACAAACGAAAAATTTAAGGTAAAAGAAATTTTCTGATCTCTTTAAATAAGAATAAAAATCGACTATTTGATGTGATAACTATTTTAATGTCTAATGAAGTAATATTAAAAGTACAAAATTGGATATTTGTCTAATCTATACATTAGTGTCGCCACGTTTTAGCACATACGAATTTTAATGGTACTGGAGTGGAGTGGTAACTTTGTGATATAATGCCCTCAAGATCGATGTCGTGAGTGTCAGTTGCATGTTCATCATTATTTCTTAAGTCATAAATTTCCTGGAATTTTTCGGAGTTCTATTAACTAAACATTTACATGAAGTCAAATGTTGCAATATTGTATGGCTTTTATCGTTTCCAACGAGTGATTATATATCATGGCAAATGCAAGATAGTGAAAAACACTTTATAATGAAATACTAAAAAAGATATTGTCAAAATGGCATTAATATGATGTCACATTCGTTAGCTGACAACATTTCGTGCTGATTGACCAACGAAATGTAGTGTTTTATGTAGCTGGTTCTATTTCTATTTGTGACTGAGTTTTCGGCCAATGGAGAATGTGTATCCGTTTGAGATTTAGTGTCATATTTTTTAATTATTCAATTGTTTAATCGTACGTATGTACATTTGTTTTGAACGTGTTTTGTAGTTTTGATAAAAGATACCAGAAACATGCCGTGATATAAATTTTATCTCTCATTTCGTTTAGGATCAACAACTGACGTTATAAAATTGAATCTTTTCTTGAATGCAAAGAATCAAAATAAAAGAGACAATATAAAACAATTAGGCTACATGGATAAATAATTTATCTGAAAAATAAACTGGTTTTACAGATGTTCTGTAACTGAGAATTGCTTTTTATTTTTAGAGATTCGTTTTATAGTTAACTTTCAATTCCTCCACGTTTATTGAACACAAGCAACACTAGCCTCATAAACTTGACGATATAAATTTTCTGAGAGGAGATGAAAAGGAAAATTAATTATTATTATTATTATTGTATGACAGGAAGTGAATTACTGGATTTTCTGAGAAATAATCTTGATATTTCATTGAGTGGAATAACAACATAAGTTTTCTCTGGCAGGTCAATAGACAACGGATAACATTATGAACAGGAAATTTGAAGCGATATTTAGATTTTTGCTTGGTCAAGCTCTAAGTATGGCCGACTCCTGTTAAAGACGAATCGAGTTCAAATTTAACAGGGTGAAAATTTTGTTCGTAATATGCTATTTTACTTTGAAATTGGCAAGAGGAATTATGCCACTGATTGTACGTTTTATGCGAATATTACCAAAACACAGCAGAATATAAACGGTAAACTGCTGACTTCGGATCCATTTAAAAAATCTGCTAAAACTTCAGTACTTCTTTCTAGCTGATACGTTTGAGCATTAAAGGTAAAGAAAGTTTGCTTGCTATGAGCGAAAAACGTATGTGTTTCAACTCAAGGGTGAACATACTGAGTTTTTTACCCACTCGACGAAATATATCCGTTGTTCACTCGTTTGATGCAAATATTAACTCTATAAACGATGAATTGTCGTGTAGGAAAAGGTTAAACAATCAATGCACTATGTATGTATGTATGTATGTATGTATGTATGTATGTATGTATGTATGTATGTATGTATGTATGTATGTATGTATGTATGTATGTATGTATGTATGTATGTATATGTATGTATGTATGTATGTATGTATGTATGTATGTATGTATGTATGTATGTATGTATGTATGTATGTATGTATGTATGTATGTATGTATGTATGTATGTATGTATGATTTTAAGACGGATGGATAGACAAAACATATAAAAGCAAATACCTCAGTCTCCACTAGCTAGTAACAAAGCTATCTAGCGTATCTGTAGCGCAGCTACGTAGATTCGTGACGTACGACAAATATAATATATCGTAACACAGCTGTGTAGGTTCGTGACGTACGATAAATATAAATTGAGCCGTTCTTAAGAAATCTACACTCTGCTTGAAAAGATGATGGCCTTCGTTGCAATAAACATTGAT